TGTTTAGGTAACTGTGCAACAGTGACCTTTTGCACAACTTTTCATCAGTACTGATCAACTGCCGCCACTTGCTGAAGTACCGAGTGCACTATCTCCAGTGGTAAAAGTTAGAACTTTTTAAAATTATGGTGACAACACACTGACAGATCATTTCTCCAACAGACGTAAAAAATCTCGACTAGAAAAAGTTTGAGCGCCACGGCCACAAAACCAACAGCAGAGTCATTATGGCTAGTTTTCTTGAAAAACCTGATGATCCAGGCGCATTCAAATGCAGCAAAAAGTTTCCCCTGTGCGCAACTGTTAGAGCTGAAAAAACTCATTAAAGTTTTATCCACTGAAAGTGCAAACTATAGCATCAAAACATCTTTAGACTTGCCAATCCTCTGAAGTGGCACCTCTAAACCGGTCGTTGTAACTGAGTCATTGGATTCTGAAAACATCAGCACTTAAAGAAAAAAGAGCATTTTAAAATCAGATAAGTGTTTTTTACATTTTGCGTGATTTTTTGGTTTGACAAACAAAGCGCACAACGATAAACACAGCAGTTAGACTTTTTAGCTAAATTAAAATTGAAAGACTATGATCATGGTAGCTCAAAACTGTGAGTAAGTCCTATGCCACTATGATGACATAACTTGGCTTTTGTCGCATTGCTACACGCTGACATGGAAGCTTTGACTAACAAAAATTTTAAAACAAACATAGAGACTAGAAATACCTTTTGCATGTAAAACCATACAAACAAGTTTAGAAACAATTATGTCGTCAAAACTAAAAACGAGCTTTTTCCGGAGACTGAACAAAAAAATCATTAATTTAAAGATTTTTATGAGATCAAAATTCTGAAAGCAGATTTGTTAATAATCACTACTATTAATAACAACAGGAAAAAGGACCAAAGGTATAAGAACGACTGATTTGCTTGGGCAAAGTCAGCCAGCCGAATCCCTTCCTCAGCACGCCGCTAGGTCCCAATCCCATATAGCCGCACTCCTTGCCCAGCCAAATGTTGCTGTTACTCAAAACCAGCCTCTCCCACACCTTACTCAGATGGCCGCTAATCAATATGCCCACGCTGCAGCGCAGACAATCGCTGCAAATGCTCGTTTTCAGGCTACGCAAAACTTTGGACAAACAGCTGGAGCTGAAGCTCCACATTTTTGCCAGACGGCACTCAGCATGTGCCCCCACGACGAAAACGCCTTGAGAAAAGGGCCCCAGTGCGCCCTAAACCAGTCTGTTCGAGCGCTAATACCACCCAGGCTGTCCCATTAGACATTGCCCCATCCCGATCAGGACTCAGAATCACTTCTGAAGAGCCAGCATTATCACCACTGACGATCATCCAGGAGGTTGAATCTTTGCAACAAATTATTGCCAGACGACGGTCAACCACATCAATTGCAGAACCAACACCGTCAAGTAAAATTCTCGAGTCTGTGTTAAATCCCCCTCAACACTCCGGACCAGAAACAAGTCAAGCCCCGGAACCTGTACAAAGTCGCCCTCTACACCCAAACCTGGAACAGCTTTTCCAGTGGGCTGCTCAGAAACACCGCCCTGCAACAGACACCTTTTTGTTTGGCAGTCCACCTCGTGCCCACGAGTCGCACCCACAGCTTATGGGTGCAACTCAGCAAGTTCCTGATCCAAATGCTGCAGCCCAGCAGCATTCGATGATGTGGTCGGCGATTTTGAAGAAACCTGTCCAGATAAGAACTAGCCCGACCGATCATGATCCAAGAAATGTCCAACACACAGCCGCCGAGCTTTTCAGCGCCAGAACAAAGCTCGGTAAATTTGCCCACTGATAACATCAACGAGGAACGCTGACACACACACACATGCCCACATTTCACCCTATAAAACTCGCTGAGATTGCCAAACGCGAATTGCGCTCTAATCATTCAAAGTTGCATCAAGCCAACGAGCCGACGGATTAGACAGGAACATACCAGTTGCTGAAAGGCAATGAGAAGAAGGACTACAATGGTAGACCAAAGGTATAAGAACGACTGATTTGCTTGGGAAAAGTCAGTCGGCCGAACTCGCTCGTTCACGTCGGTGAGCTGAACGTTCTACCATCATCATCACCCTTCACACTCACATTTTGTCTTCATGTACCTTTTGTTGGACTGAGATTCCAAATCCTCTCAGTACTCTCTCAATAAACAATCGCACCAAATTGCTTCCATTGTGTCTGGTTGTATTGATCTACGAACAACACCGCGTGCTTTGAGCCGTCATCACTGCGCCAGCGTCACTTGTAGCTTAGTTCTAGTTTCCCTAAGCTAGCAGGTTAGAACTGGGCAGTTTTCCTCTACAACTGCTTGGCGGGAAGGGCAAGGAAACGACAGCTCAGTAAGACTAGAAACTACATGTTTACTGGGGGATTTGCAAAATACTGGGGGCGTTGAACTGTTTGCATCATCATGGGCTGGTATGGCATGTGTCGTCGTGAAGAGTTGACCGAGTAGTACATGGGGGGTCCAAGTGGGTGTAAAGCTGAGTGTCTGAGCTGGGCTGGGATGTTACTGCTGTGAACACGTGCTGAGGAACCGTAGACAGAATCTGGTCTTCTGGGAATACTTCCCAAGTCGACGTTTTGCAAGAAGAAGAAAAAGCTGCTTATGACAAAGTGAACTTGTTAGCTGTCATCACTTTCTTTGCTCTTCTTACGCCCATTGCCGCCCAACCTGCCGCCAATATCACCCTCGATGCACCAAACACCCTGGACTCTGATGTCAATGACCTGCCCGCCAAAGTCAACCTCACTTATGCCCCTCTAATTGTCTGGCATGAAACCAGCCAAGTAGCTGCAATCGGTTACAACTTTTATCGCCATTCTGCTATCTTGCTCAACCCGTGTACTCCCCTTCATCAATACGTCGACCGATTAGATGAAGACGTGCACAAAGGGAGAAGACACTCAATGACCCGAGTGCTCACCGATAAAGTAGCCTGTGACCGCATCTACCGCGAAAAGGTAATTGCCACCATCCAAGCCAACTGTCTAGAGTACCAGCTGCCCAGGTTCAGTACCAGTATCACTCCACTGCTGAGAGACAAGCGCCAAGTTCTTGCACTAGTAGCCACTGGACTAGTGAGCTTTGAAGTGTGAACAGTGAAAAATTACTTCGAAGAGTACATCAGAGCCGCCAACATCAACGAGCTGGGCTCACAGATGCACCAGGCTGTCCAGAAAATCAAAAGCCAGAATCGGCTGAATCAAGCCTTCCAGAAGGAGCTCTTGGTTGCACTCAACCACACCTGGAAGGAGATTGACTCTTTGAGATTCGATTTAGAAGATGAAGCAACTTCAGCTCGCCTGCTGTCTGCTGCAATGACCACTATTTCGGAAGTGACCAATCATCTTGAACTCCTATTCAATTGATTCAAAGAGCAGAAAGTTTCATCAGCCTACGCCCGTCTGTTCCCAGACAGCCCTCTTCTTGGAGAAAAGCCGTCAGTCTATTGGACCGCCCAGAAATGTCGGTTCCAGAAACCAGACACCCTGATTATGGACTTTGATGTCCCAGTGATAAACAAGAACGTGAAAATCATGAAAGCCGAGCCGTTCGATTTCTTGTCTGACAATGACAAAGGACAATCTTGCCTCAGTGTGTTCAAAGGCAACAGATACACGATGATCGACGAAAAGAACAACTGCACAAATGACATCACTCATCCTGCGACCGAGGACCGAGCAGTTGTTCTTCTCCCCAGCAGAGATCACCAATGCAACCTGCACGCCAACAGAACGCTCAAGTGGAAACTGATCGACTGTGGAGAGGACGTCAACAGTGACAGGCTCATTCAATACAAACTCAATCGAGATGAGCTGCACATCTACTGTTTTCCGCACAAACTTCAGCTCGACAACAAACCACCCTTTGCTTGCCCCAATGCCGTAATTTGCCTGGACAAACACCAACAGTTTTCAGTTGATGGACGTCGATACATCACCAACGCACAGACCTTCAACACCCAAACTCACTTCGGTTTCTCAGTAAGTGATCTGATTAACAACCGGTCATTTGTCTTGCCCGGTAGCCACCAACCAGCACTCAGCTTTCTGCCTGCCATCATAAAAGCTGAGCAAACTAACAACGAACAACTCGATTTTCCCGGTGTTGAAGCCAGCAGCCTATTTTGGTCAATCACAGCTGGACTGATTGCTGTCATCTCCCTTCTAATTGCCGTTGCCTGCTGGTGCTACTGCCGCACTCAGTATTACCAAATGTGGAGATACAACTTGCGCAATCAAGTCTTTGATCGACAACAAAACATCCCTGAGAACAACTTTAAACAGCCGATTTCGACTTAGCAGATTTCCAGTTGCCGAAGCTCTTTAGCACAGTTGACTAACCGCCTGTCTTCTGCTAAATTTGAGCTAGCTGACTTAGGTGCGCAGCACCTCTCTTTGCCAATAATTCCCAGAAGAGTTTGAGGTCCTAGGCCCCCTCACTCTCTCTCCCTTTCCGTACTTTGTACCGTTGACCGTCTTGCATTAAAAGTATTGTTATTACTTGTGTGTGTGTTTGACCCGTACTTGCCCCACTAGTTCCCACGCCCCACTCGCCCACGTCGTGCCCTATCTGCGCTCCCGAGAAAAGAGCCCAGGCACTCGTTGAAGACTAGCTTGCCCAGTGTGTGCTACACCGAGCAAGTGTTTGTGCGCCATCAGTTTTCTACATATTGAAGCTCTGTTTAGCTTCACTAGGTTTTTGAGGGGGAGACACGGGCTTACTAGTACAGCCGCGTGCGTGGTATAATTGTAACCGATGGCAGTGACGTGATCCGTCACCCGCCAAAGAATCGGTCCTGTCTTCTCTAATTCTTGGCACCCTACAGGCGTTGCCAAAGTCAAGAGAAGAAAAATCATCACCACCTTGGTGAGATAGAGCCAGAAGCGGGACAAGATTCCTTGCCCTGGCCTATTTCTCACCCTTCCCTCATTACCATGAGCCATCACAGAGGTGCTCGGTGCTGAGACATCAGTCTCCCTTGGATGGGGAGAGGGGCCCTTTTACAGGGGCGCTGTCAATCTCCTCCTCCTCGTTGTCAGTGACAGTGTGAACATAATCTTGTATGTCGATTCTGTCAAAGATAATGCGAACACCATTCCATTGGTCGTCCTGCATCTGGCCTTCGGCCCCTGGGATGGATTGATCATTCTGGGCTTCAGAATCAGCCTCAGTCGAATTGATCCAATCCTCGTAATCCCAGACTTGAGTTTCTACGGGGTGATCCTCAAGATATAGCTCATCTGTACGTCTGACACCGTACAGTAGCTGTTCAGGCTGTGCCTTTACCAGTGGTTGGTAGGTGAGGTTGTAAACCTCCAACACCTGCTCCACAACAGCTTCTTTGTCCAGATCAGTCATTCCTTCTCGGAACTGACTGCGGATCAAACTTCTCAGCACCCTGGCAACACTGCCAATTTCGGGGCTGTGTTTTGTCCACCTGACGAGCCTAGTCTCGTGGGGAACAAACATCTCTCTTATGGCATCGGAGACAATTTCTTCCGGATACCACTCCATGACGATTTTCTTGATGCCTCGTTCACGGTAGAGTTCCTCCACTAGGTACTCTAGCGTCTCAGAATTAGCGGTGGAGGCATAACTCCCAAAGGCGTACCGGAGTATTCGTCAATGGCGAGATACAAAAACTGTTCACTACCTGGATACAGTCTCTTGAAAAAGATGTGCACCACCCTCATGGCAGCGTCATCATTTATCTGGTCTTCTGCGTCTCCTTCTTCTTCACAGAAGAGAACGCAGCTTCCAGTTGAGGTGCTAGGTCTGTTCAAAAGGCGAGAAACATCTCTCTCTCTCTCTCGCTCTCTCTCTCTCTCTATTTAGATTGACTAATTGAGTCCTGGCACCGTCCAAACCCGTTTGGCTTGTTCAAAGTCTAAATGGTCGCGGCTTTGTGTTCACCAGACAGAAGCTTTTATACTCGAAGACCGAGATGTCCGAGCAGAAAGAGCATTCTAGGCTCTCTTTTCCCTACCATTGTATAACACCCACCAACATCTCCCTTACCTCCCTTTCTAAATAAGTCACATTATATTATAATTGTGTACTACTTTGCTGCTCTGATCAAGTTAGCTTAGTTAGGTTATTTAGTTAGCGAGTTAAGACAACTTCATCATCAACAACTCATCTACTAGTTTACCTGGTCGTTTAGAAATTGTGTAGAAACAATAGGAAAGCAATTAGTTAGGCTTAATAATACTGTTCAATTAGTTGGAATAACGACAGCCGTTTAACACAGACTAAAAAGATTTTGACACGAGTAAATTGGAGGTTTTTCAAACGGGCTTGAATGGTACTATAACACAGTTGTTCAATCTAAGTAAAGAGGAAGATGTTTTTCGCCTCTTGAACAGACCTAGCACTTCAACTGGAGGCTGCGTTCTCTTTTGTGAGGAAGAAGAAGACGCAGAAGACCAGATAGACGATGACGCTGCCATGAGGGTGGTGCTCATCTTTTTCAAGAGACTGTATCCAGGTAGTGAACAGTTTGTGTATCTCGCCATTGACAAATACTCCCGACACGCTTTTGGGAGTTATACCTCAACCGCTAATTTGGAGACACTAGGGTATCTAGTAGAAGAGCTTTACCGTGTCCGAGGTATAAAGAAAGTAGTCATGGAATATTATCCTGTGAAGATTGTCTCCGATGCCATAAAAGAGATGTTTGTTCCATGCGAAACTCGCCTTGTCAGATGGACAAAGCACAACCCCAAAGTAGGCAATGTTGCCCGGGTGCTGAGGAGCCTGATTAAAAGTCAGTTCCGAGAGGGAATGACCGAATCAGATAAAGAGGTTTTCACTGAACAGGTGTTAAATGTCATCAATAGGAAAACGATTAGTTAGGACTAGTAATACTGTTCTCTAGTAATCCCTTTGATCATGTGAAATCTGGAACCTATCAAACTCATGAATAATTAATTTTTTTTTACATTTGTACCAGTAATTTTGTCACAGAATTACTTTTGATCAAACTGCGTAACACCCAAACAAGATTGCTAACTTTTGGGTTGTGCTTTGTTAAGTTAACTAATTGGGTTTTATGTGAAACGAAAATTTTTCGTACAATGTCAAAGACAATCTAAAAAATCAAACTGTTTTCTTTATGTTTTTAAACTTTATTTGCCAAACCAGAAAACACCCAAAAAGTAAAAAACATTAATTTTATTTCAAAATGCTCTTTTTTCTTTCAAATACTGGTGTTTGCAAAATACAATGACTTTACTGCAACGACTGTTTTTAAAGATGTCACGTTTGGTGATCAGCAAGTGTTAAAGTGTTTTAATGTTTCTGCTTGCTTCTCCAATGGTTCAAAACTTCAACAAGTTGATTTAGGTTTAGCAGTTGCGTTCAGAAAGAACTGTTTGTTGCACTCAGGTACGCCTGAATCACCAGGCTTGTTTAATAAAAATTATTTTTTATATTAAAAATGAATTTGTACAAATTTATTATCTCAATAATTACAAATAACAAAATTTTAATTTTATTGAAAAATCATAATTGTAAACATTTTTTCTAAACAAAACTAACAAAAATGTGTATTTTATAGTAATAAAAATGTTGAATATGCAATAGATAATAAATACAAAAAAACTGAACATCAAATGAAAATATTATTAACAAACTAATGTTAAAAAGAATAAAAAATGTATTAAATTTGCCAAGAAAAGCAATGCAATAAACGATTTAATAAAAAGAATTGAATGTGTGTCTGTGTTTCCTCCTTCCTTGTGTTGACATAGTTTTTAGCATTATTACATTATTAATCATCATTCTGTCAAATGCGAAAAACACTTTCACTTAGGAGAGGTTGCCGATTGAATTTGCTAAATCATCCTCCAGAGAGATGGCGGAGTACTGCGAAATCTTGCCCACAGAGCGCATCGAGTTTCCGGAGCGCACTCGGTGAACAGTTCCAGCAGAGCTGCCAGAGCTCGGCTTGGCCAGCACCTCTCTGAGCACCAAATCCGAGCAGCTGTTGCTCTGACTGGCCAAAGCAGTGCTGCCCATCATCATCTGTCGATCACTGCCTGACTGTGCACCACCGGTCTGGTAGTTGTGTTGATTTGCGGCACTGCTGCTGCTCAACATCACCCGAGAGCCGTTCAGGCGGACAATGCTGCCGCCGCTGCCTGACTTGCCCAGAGAGCCGCCCATCATCATTTGCTGATGTTGATGCTGTTGCTGCTGTTGCTGTCTGGTAGCCGATTTCGGTCCGTTCCGGGAAGAGAAAAAAGAGGACGAGGATGACTGTTGCGGTGGCTGCTGCTGCTGCTGACGGTGACCAAAAATAGAAGAGATGGCCACTGTTGAGTTGCCCAGCTTTTCGGAGCTGTTGCCTTCGGCGGCTCTCAGCTGAACGGCCGAGCCGGTGAAGTTGAGAGCCGCCGAGTCGTCGGCGTAGTGCCCATGCTGCTGCTGCTGGTACAGTGGCACTCGCTGGACGCTGGACACTTCTCGTTTCTGCTGGTGCTCCGAGGCACGTGAAGGTGCTCGTCCTTCAGCGATGTACTGCTCAGAGGCGGCCGCTGGAAATGACTGCTTGCGGCTGCTGCCACCAGCTGCTGCTGCTGCTGTTGCCGCGGCGGCGGCCAAACTGAGCCTCGAGCTGCATCTCGACTTGGGCGTGGGCGCTGCTGAAGAGGACATCGCCTGTGAGAGTGTATTTCCCGCGTAGATTGTCGAGCTTGTCGGATGATGAGCCGGCAAAAGACTGCTCGGACCGATGCCGTACCCGGTTCGCTTTTTTTGGGCAAATGTCTGAGATGTGCTTCCGGTGGTTGTCGCCGGGGCTGCCCCCGTCAGACTGCCCGCCAGCACAGTGTACGGCTCGGTGGCGGGGTGTACGACCGGCGGGTAGTGGCCGCCACCTCGGCGAAAGTGCGCCGCCGGGTAGTACTCAATGTGGCGACGAGTGTTGTGGCTGCCGCTCAGTTTGGACTCAGGCGAGTGGGGCACTTCAAGTGGACTACCACTACTGTTCACGTACTTTGAGGAACTTTGGCACATTAGAGCAAATTTGAGATCGTGAATGATCTCTTCACAGACTGATTCCTGTTTTGGAAAAAAAGAAAATAATTTAGAATATTTCCGATTTCAGACTGAATACTCAAGCCCCCCCCCAACTGACCTGTTTTAAGTTAGTGCGAGCCCTCCAGAGGAACTCCAGTATGACGACGAAGAGGGAGAAGGAGAGACCGCCCAAAAGGACGACAAAGACGCCGCCGACGTTGTCAATCTTCAGGGGCATCACCGTTCCGGAGCCCTTTTTGCTGTCTTCGGCGCACTGGCCGCCGCCTTTCTTCTGCTTCCACCAGCGCTCTTTGAGCATCAGCAAGTCGCCGCTCTCTTGCAGCTGCAGGATGGCTTGCGACAGCGGCACTCGGTACGGCGAGTCTAGGAAAAGAAAAAAATGTTGGTTCAAACATGATTTAAAACTAAAACTTTTGTTTCAAATTTTACCTTTAGCAGTGGCGATTCCGTATCCTTTCGAGTCGAGCAGTCCGCCGATTTGCGTCAGGTTGCACTCCCTCTCAATGGTGTACTCAATGGAGGCTGACTCCATGAGGAAGGCGTACGTTCCGTCCCGTTCCTCCACCGCCTTTCGGCCTTCTTCGTTTGACTTCATAAACACCTCGTCGGCATGTTTGGTCATGAAGTTCCACATTACTTTGTAGTAGTCCAAGTTTGACTCCTAAAGTAAGTAAGGTAGTGTACCATTGGTAACTTTTAAATAAAAACTCAAATTTTTTATACGTAAAACTTACCGAGAAGAATGACGCCGTCGAGCCTGAAACAAGGCAGCCGTATTTGATTTTTTCCTGAGCAGCCAAGTCTTTGGCGTTCTCAATTGGATACACTATCTTCTCGACGGTCAGAAAAGCGGCCAGGTTGGCGGTGTATGAGGCAATCATAATCAGGGTAAAAAAGTACTGGCAAAAATACTGCTATGTTAGCACAAGTTTTACAACGACAACAGTTTAAGTGATGATAATTTACCCAAATTGCAGCTATCGTTCGGGTTGACATTGCTCTGATAAAATTCAAGTTAATCGTTACTTAATTTTTAGGAAGAAAAAAGGCAATAACAACTTACTTTGGCGTCAAATCCGAGGCCTGCTGCATGAGAGAGCCAATAGTGAACCAGAAACTGTTCGACAGACTAAAGCTATTCTCCAGCACTTGCTCCTCCTGCCGACAGGGATGCGGATTCTCCCACTCGTAGGGCGACAGGCGGCCGACGACGAAGAGAATCGAGGAAACGCCAATGTAGGCGCAGAGGACGTTCATCCACACAAAGTAGGAGAAGGGCGAGAGAAAGGAGAAGAGCGAGGTCACCTTCTTCGTCGGTTTCTTAAAGAGAATGCTGATGCCGGTGTTCATGAAAGGATGCGTAAAGTCAACTGCGCCCTCTCTCTTCGAGGTGATAGTCAGGTCGGCGACAGCCAGGTCGGCCTCTCCGCGAATCAGCTCGCCCATCATTCCGTTCCAGGTGCCGTTCTTGTCCGGCCGCCCGTAGGCGTTGTCCTTCACCAGGCGAAACTCGTATTTGAAGTGCAGTATCTTTGCCAACTCGGCGATCAGGTCGATGGCGTAGCCCTCGTAACGGTCGTTGCCGATCCGCTTGAAGGGCGAGTCCTTGTCCATGGTATACGGCTTGTTGATTACCGTCGTGATTATGAGCGTCTTATTCTGCAGCGCCGAGTTGGAGTAGTGGTCGTCCCAGCTGTGGTTGATGTTCAGGCGGCGCTCTGCGTCAGGGCCTTCCTGCCAGCTGCCAATCTGTTTAAAAAAACGGTTAAAAAGGGTACCAGATTTTGTATTACAGGCAAAGGACATTAGCACAAATAAAAACACCCTCTTTATAGGCAAGACATACCTCTTCTAGGCCCGTCGGTCTGACGGTGACAATGCGCAACGCCGTCTTGGACCTTGCGCCGGTTAGGTCGTCAAAACCGACATAACCCGTGAGGCCGGTAAAGTTTACCTGAATATTAGAAGGTGGAGATTATTGACAAGTTATTAGTAGTATCATAAAAAATGAACATATTTAAGCAATTACCGGTCGCATAAAGTTGATCAGTGAACTGCCTTGCGCCCACGGCTCGGCGCCCTCACAGGTGACCTGTTGAATTTGTATTGCCTGAGAGTGGTCAAGGTCTCGCATTGCAATTGCCAACATGCTCACACCGTCGTAGAGCAGTGCTGCTTCCGTCTGTAAAGGTCGTTAAGGTAATCAGTTGAACAAACTTTGAGTATTTACAAAGTTGACAGAATTTACCGATATTTGTCCGGTAAACTGATTTGGGTACTCCTTTTTCCAGTCCACCATCAGCTGCTTGTGCTCTTCGGTGTTGCTGTTTATCAAAGAGAAGGCAGTAATACGGGTTTTGCCAAATTTAAAGTCTTCCAAGTCAATCATATGAAGGTCCTAGTGTTGTCAATAGGGAACATTAATGTTAGCACTAACAGTAAGTTAATAAAATGATAGTTGTTAATTACCAAATGTGTAATTAAATAGCTATGTGCTTCAGTAATAAGACCAACTTGTTGGGCCTAAATAAAAAAAGGTAATGTTTGAGTAAAAAAAATCGTTTAAAAGCAAACAAATGCAATTGTCACGAACATGTTTTAAAGCTCGAAAAATGTTCTCGTTTTTCACATCAAGTATAATATTTAGTTCGCCTTCTTCTTTAATTTTCCAAAATGTGTCGCGATAGGGTTTTCCAAACTCAAATTGATGCAACTTTATTTTCCAATTTCGAGCTTCGGCTTCTTTAAAAAAGTCTTGTAAGCGAAAAAGGCCTATAAACAATTTGAACAAAGTGTTTAAAAAATTCAAAATGTTTCAACAATTAAATTTGCATACCTTCACTGTTTTCGTACACTATTGCAAAGTGCTCCCAATTCCAAGCTTTAACAATATCAACGTAAGCTTTAGTTAACAGCGAAGTTTTGGGAAACAAGTTAATAGACTCTGGGTCATTGCGATTATTTTTAAACTCCCAGCGAGTTTCAATGTGCGGAATGTCCTTGGCGTCACAGATCGACTGAATGTGATGTGATATGTGTCCATCAAAGGGATCAAAGATGGCCACTACGCCCATCTGCAGAAGGCCGCACACTGTTTTGAGGGGGGGGGGAATAAAAGAAGTAAAGCCAAAATAGATTAGTACACTTCTAGCGTTACTTGTAAAAATAGAGTATGTCAACACTTTACTCTCGGTAACTTGACACTTTTGTTTTGCCAAAGTGCTTTTAGTGTGCGTGTGTGTGTGTTTGTATTCTAGTGTCAAATGACAGGCCTGTGATGATACTCTTTTGTGTGCATCTGTGCATCTGTGCAATACATGCCTAAGTGTGGGACAGTACAGTGAACTGAAAAGCAAACAAACAAACCCTTTTTATTTCCGTGAAAACTATCGTGCGCCTGAATGTGTTCAATTTTGGGCACCAGTTGGGTGTGCGGGAGAATGACGCGGTCAACATTGATGCGCTTGATTGCCAATCGAAAAGCAATCTCATGGTCAATGCGATCCTTCGCAAACACCGCTCCCACGTTGATTGTTGGCGGCAGGGCGCTGGCAGGCGGAGAGAGTACCACCACCGTGGCCATAAAAAAGAGCAGTAAAAAAGAAAGCGAAGAAGAAGAGGAGGAGTACAATTGGAAAAGGGGAATTAGTGGCGGTAAAAAAGTGGGGACACTAAAAGAAGAAAAGGAAAAAGAAGAAGGTGAAGAGAGAGAAGAAACGGTAGTAAAAGTAGATGATGATGGTGGTGATGATGGTGATGGTAATGATGATGATGACGATGATAAAGGTAATGAAGAAAGTAGTGGTGAAGGTGTTAAAGTTGAAGAAGGTGCTAACAGCAATGAGGACGCACCAAGTGATTGGAAAATAGCAGTAAAAAGAGTTCGAGAATGAGTGGAGCTCAACAGTGTTTTTTTCTTTTCCTTTTTTTCAAGAAAGGTTGAAAAGGTAACTAGTAAAGGCATTTGAGGAGAAAAAGTATAGTCAAAAATCTGTTTTCGTGGTAACAAGCTCCTCCACTCCTTCCACCGGAGAGCTCGGTTTCTCAGTTCAAGCGAAGCGCAAGCAACAACATCAACAACAACAAGTTCAGCAAAGTGAGCAGTGAATAGAGGTTTGGAAAAGGCAAACAAAACACCTGTGAAAAGCGGCGAATCTCCGATGGTTGAGAAGAAGAAAAAAATCAAAAAAGAACTATCTTGAGCGAGAAGACACGCCACTGAGGAAGCGGATACAGGCGATACGTTTTTCCCGGCAACCGTAAGCAGAACAAGCGGCCCAGAGACAGTGGTCGATTGTGGTGATGAGGATGAGGAGGATGAGGAGGATGCACTGAAGAAGAAGATAAGTACTGTCGATGTCGACAAGTGGGTCGTCCACTTTTGGCACCTGAAAAGTGGTGGTGGGCCTTGCCGAAAAGTAAAGACGGTCCTGACCGTGGTGATTGTGCAACCGTGCTGGCAGCAACAACGGCAACAGGAGCTGACAAGAAGAGCACCTCCGGGTCCGGGTTTTGATCGGCAGACTTCTGCTGACCATGATGATGCTGCCGGCACTTGACTGTGGTCAGCATTTCCTGCGAACGTGCTTTCACTTGTTTCCATTCCATCGACCGCTGGTCTCTGCTGCCCCTGGTGTTTTGGTTGCCTAGCCGTTCTGGACATCTGCAAGCCGATGCAGTGTCACCATCCATGAACAGCAGGTTACACCTTTAGTAGAACATTGTTAAGAAAAGAAGAGCGAGAGGGAGAAAGAAGAAGAAAAAGCAAACTCATACTGACGAGTTTTGCTAATAAGGCCAGTTGGTGCAGCGTTAAAGCGCTAAAATTGTTTTTAACAAAGCATGTTCTGAAAAGGTAAAAACAATAGGTTAAGATTTAAAAAATATATTTAAAGTTTTGTTAATTTTTTTAAAAATTATAACTCAACAAAATTTGAAAATGATTTTGCAAAACATTTGTTTTTGACCACCAAGAAACATTACTTTATTAGAATAAAGTTTTTAAAATAAAATATGTTCAACGCTAGAAAACTTAAAATAGGTAAAATAACTTAGTAGCGCAAAGCATTTATGTTACAGATACATAAAAACATTTTATAATTGACAAAAATATGTAAAAGTAATTTTGGAAAACAATCTCAGCTGACCAGAGGCTGTTATGGTCCAATGTAATCGATGACTAATTTGCCCAAAAGAATATAAACCGTATTGTCTACTAAACTCAAACACCCATTTGCCAATATTGCAATAAAACACATCGATTGAGCTGCATCAAACAAAGTGCTTTTTGGTTTTTTCTAGATCGATTGATTGACCTGAATAGCTTGAATTATTATGCGCAAAAAATATAATCAATCAATCGAAATTTAATTTCATTTTTAGGCATTTTAGCTTCAAAATGATGTATAAAAAGAAAAACATTTGTTTTTTCAATTATTTTTTATTTTTACCATGTCCACGCTAATCATTGACGCTATTAAATGCAAAAAACCAAATTTTTATAATGATTGTGCAATTTATAACTTAACAAAAAATACAGTAAAAAATTATTAAGAGATTAAATAAATAATTACAAAACTAATGCATATAATTAAAACAAATGGGGATCATAAAAAATATCAATAAACATAGTTTGTTTTTTTAACGAAATTCAGTAGCAAGCTGTTATACACTAACTTTTTTGTCAAATAATTTTCAACGTTTGTTTGTCGTAAATAAAAAAACCAAAAAAGGTATTTGCGCAAAAAGTTTAAGTTTGAGTTTTGCGCCATAACAAACAATGTTTTAAGTATTGTATCAGGGTAGTTTGGATAATGCTGAAATTAACAAAAAAAATTTAGTTTTTTTTACATTTATTGTAATGTTATTTAACTTTTTAACTACAAAAAAATTAAAATTTTTTAAACTTTTAAAAAAGCGTAAGATTTTGCTGTGTGCAAAACAGTGAAGTAAAATGCAAATAAAAACTATTTTTGTCTAGTTTAATTGTCATTAGTTTTAAACAATTTTTTGTGTTTGCATATTAATATGCGTACTAAAATTTTAACTTGTTTGTCTTAAAAACTTAATTTTTAATTGATTTCTAAATATTTATTTAAAGTTGTTTGAAGTGTGTTTAACAATTAAACTTTTAACCAAATAGTAAATTATTTAAATATTTTAAAATTATTTAAAAACAATGATCAAAATAAAATTTTTTATAAAATGTGTTTTTTTACAAAAAAAAGTTACCGCAACAAGAATGCAAATAAACTTTGGCTTTAAGGTGACGGAAATTCAATTTTTTTGTAGCCGCAAAAGTTGTTACTTTGGCAAACCATTATCTAGTGCGGTCTATAATTTGCAAATCGTTGCCTACAAAATTAACTTATTTGCATTTTAAATATCCAATAATGGTGCCTAACAATACGATCAAAAATAAAAAAAACATTGTAGCTCTGCCAACTGAGGGACTTGCAAGCAAAAAACGCAAGTTTTGGCCCTTGAATTGAACAAAATTACAAGTGAAAAAGGCCAACAGAGAAACAAATTTGACTGTGACATTTTGGCTTGACTTAACAAATAAAGTGATGCCAAGTTAACATGATGGCTCGTTTTGGTAAAGAAAGCGTCAAACAACGGACGGTAAATGGCTGCCAGCGCAGACAAAAAACAAATGAGTGCATAAATTGCACTCACACTGTCTGTTGCACTAGACGATGGTGATTTGCTCAACGAAACACTGCTTCTTCATCACAAAACAGAGAAAAAGAGTGAACTGTCGGCACTGCGCCAAGAGGACGGAGTCATATGTAAATGGCAAATGGACAATTTACTTTAAACATTGTGGCTGCACCTAATGACAACACCGGTAAGTGACTAAAACATCTAGTTTGCAAAACAGATTCTAAATCAAGGAGTAATGTTGCAGGTTTCTCTTTCAATTTTCTAACCAATTTTTGTATAGTTTATTTCAACTTTTAGCTAATCCTGGCAATTTGTTTTACCTCTTGATTGCTTTTTACCATTTTAATTTAAAACGCAAGTTTCAATTTAATGTTTTTTTAAAATTATCAAACAAAGTGTTTAAAGTGAGCTTTAAAATTAACTCTTTAAAAATTACACTGATTAATGTGACAAAATAAAGTTTTGTTGCAAAGGTAGAACTTGAATAAATGAATAAACACTGCCAAAAGCTGTAACCCTTTGGAGTTGTTGCAACTGTTGAGTGCAGTGAAAGAGTCCACTCAACCGCACGGTCACATGGTCTTCGCCGCAAAGCGATAGACCGTATCACCGTGAATGAATGCCTCCATTGTGCAGGCGGAGAGAGAGGGCGCAAATCGATCAGGCACCGAAGAGTGACACATCTGCCGTCACCGAACATACGCCGATCTTACAAGCTAAAGACGGATTGACAACTGTTTGGTGGAAGGAGGACTATGTGCAAGAGAAGACCGTCAGCTGCGGGTCAACTTTCTTTGTCGCAGTCAAAGTCGCAGCCATTGATGTTTCTGCAGCTGCTGTTGCTGCTGCGGTGGATTTCTTTCATTCTTCACTACTGCACTTCTTCTTCTTCTTCTTTTCCATTATTAGGTTTCTGTTTCTAGCAAACATGAGAAAGAGAAGAAGGAGCAGAGAAATCATACCTAGCCTATTCATTGACACATCAGGCAGCGGTCAATGGATGAAAAGGAAGCTCATCGATTAGAAATCGAACGGGGCTACGACAACAGCAACAACAACAGCAACAACAACAGTAGCAGTAGCAGTAGTAGTAGTAATGAAAGCAAGTGGTCTACTCAACTGACGATCGATCACCATTTGATGTGATTCACCGCCGATGATTGATCAAATTACTAGGCAAAAGGCGGAAAGCATGGCAGTCAGCAGTTAGTGAAAAGTGCAGCTGAGAAAAAAACTGCAGAAAAGCATCGTACACAGTTATCTTAGACACACAACAAATTGTCTAAATGTGTGTATGTGTGTGTTTTGTCTTCAAGTAGGCAAACAACGCCAATACTATTAGTTTTGCTGTTGTTGCTGCTAATGCTGCTGTGACTGGGCACCATCACTTAAACTTCCTTCTACTCAAAATAGTCTAATTGCCAT